GCTCATGAGGAGATCCGTGACTGTACCGTAGAGTGTTCAAGTATCGGGGAATTTAGTCAGTAAGTTTCAGCTGAAGCACGGTTTCGAGGTTTATGACGATAAGGCACATTGTTAGAAGCTCCTCGTTCGAGGTAAAACGCTGTGAGACTTCTTTTATTGCAACTACAGCCCCCTAGTGATAAAAGACTCGATCACACTCTACTCGAACTGATACTTTCCTCGAATCGGAGTCGGATACCATTGCTCTAAAGGCCAATATTATGCAAGAGATGTTCCTATGCCAGTTCCCTTATCAAGTGGGGTTGACATTGGATTGCGTTCGTAATGTCGATTGACGTCTACCATATCTATCATTTCCTGGCTGCTATGATTTATGTGTGATTCGCTGGAATAACGCTCAATTTCTCAATATAGCTGTCATAGTGCTTGTGATTGCTTCGTTGGATTCTGCAATGGGAGTCATTACAGAATTCTATAGATCCCTGGCGCAACGTGACTGATGTCATTGGTCTTGTCGGTGAAGTAAATGAATGGGTAGAAAATGAGGCAAATATGACCGGTTACGCGGATTTCGCACTGAGTCGTAGTCGTGAAACTTTTGAAACGATCCCACACCTCTGCTCATTCGTGTTGACTATGCAGTGTACCCATTGCGGTCAATCCAGATCGGAGTCGGCCGTGACTCATCGGCGATCGATCTGACACCCTTTTCCTGGAAACTCGTTCTGTAGGAGTAGTCCGACGTTAATACACCTTCTGCGCCCTTTTTGTGTCCCACAAACAGCGCATTTCGCTTCGGCAGTAACTTATTTGTTATTCAAAGGATTTTGAATCGGATTCATTTGATGCTCGCTTTATAACGAAATCCGTATTGAAGCTTTCTGCTCGGTTTCCCCTATCCACATGAGCTTCTGTTATGATTCAATTTACTGTTCGCAATTGCAGCCACGTGTGCCCTTTGTCATGAGGCTGCACACCAGAAAATCTGCCTTCATGCGTTTCTAACTAAGTTTTTCCAGTTGGTCTCGGGTTCACATCACCAAAGGGTTCTTTTTTTGGAAATCGAGGGCCACAATCTCGCGCGCCTCCATTCAGCTAGTGTCCCTCACGGTTCAGTTATTTTGTATAGCTCCTAGCATTAGCCTTCCTTGCTGTTTACGTAATCTTCCATCTTCACCATAAACATTTTCTCTGCTTGGTCAGTATGACCACAGCCAACTCGTTTTCTGTTCAATCACGGGGGGTTACACCCGATTTCTACATGCGCAGCTGGTTCAACACAACTGGCTAAATCCAGCTATCGTTTACGGTCCGCTATCCGACTGTCCCACATCCGAATCGCTTCATACAATGTTTCAGTATATCAGCTTTTTTCCAATGATTAAATACCAATCCAAATCGCTTGTAATTTGACTAATCTCTGTGTACGAGCTCCTTGAATGCAATAATTGCTCCTGGGTCAAGACCCAAGGTCGACGCCACTGCATTTTCCACTTTTTCTTCTCCTAGATACGTAGGTGCTCCTGTGAACGAGCTCTGTTGCCCGTGTTAGCTCTTTCGAAGTCCCAACATAGATCTGCGTGCAGCCTGGGTGGTCTCACCACCCTATTCATAATTCCCGTATTCCCGTGAGGTGTGCATTCATCGATTTTTCGCTACTCATAAGCGGCTTCGTACCTGTTATGCTAGAGACTGCTGTTGCTTTGAACATTCTTTTCTATTCATCAATTTTTGGCCTCTTCTCAGGCCTCTCCACTCCCACGAAACTCACTTAACATCGGCCCTTTCTACCGGCCCTTCGTACAGTCGTATAGATCTGACCTCATTACCACCCGACACATGTTGGCCGCTCGCCGTGTGAAATGCTGTTTAGCATATGCGAGCTAATATTTATACACTATTTTTTAGTTTAGTCTTCTTATCCGTCTAATTCTATTGCGAATTGGATTTTCGTACATGCTTGAAATTTCTTAACCATTCTTGATAAAAATTTTTTTCTCATTATTTTATTTCTTGATATGACCCCATTGTTCTCATAGAGTCATGCAAAAAGCGGAATTTGAATCTGCAGAATACAGAGATTCGAGGTTGCTCTGGGAGGTTCCCAAAAAAGATGTCTTTCACGATGAAATACGCCTTATTCGAAGTTGTAAGAGCTGGATTTGTATGGCAATATAGGAACATGTGAGCTTCAAACTGCCGCTTTCTCTGATCTTGTCATTATTTTTTCGTTTTTTTCTTCTCAACAATCAGCTCTTTTTGTTGAATGCCCTTACCGTTAATTATTCCCCACACCTGATGAGTGATGTTTGAACTTCTCTGCTTCGACTGCTTCTACTCCTGTAAACAGAGAGCGTAACATAACTCTGCAGGAAACGATCTTCAACATCAGTGCCGCCCTCTTAATGAGTATGTAAGAGCATGTAAGGGTAATGGAGGTGGGACTCACTTGCGGCTGGATTTGGGGTACTGATGGTGCAGCCCACTGCTTCAGTGGATTCACTGAAATTTATATTCAAGAAATAGTTCTTCTCCCTCGAAGAATTTTTCAGAAACTCTTCTTGCATTGTGATTTCCTTATGTAACTATGCTTAGAAAGCACAAAACTAGCAGTCCTTCAAAACTGGCTTGAGTTCCTCTCGAGCTTATCCAATAGTTTGCAATTCTCTCCAAAAACTTTTCGCATCACTCCTAACCTTTGCCTAGTCCAGAGCTTCTCTTTAATTGTGATAAGTCAAGAGTGCAGCGTATGGCGTTGAGGGCGACGGTATTGTTATGCCCCATTCCCCCTATTCCACTTCAATGCCCTTGAACAATCGTTTGGATTACACAGTGATTAAGGGAACCAGTCCTCATAGCTTTCGTCGTTATAGCTTAGAAATGAGGGCTGTAGCTGGCGTTTTGGTTTCATCTTCATGCCTTCCAAACTCTTTTTTATATAACGATTTTTGATTTGATATGATTTTGATAACATTTTTTTTGATTTTCCTAAGTGAACCGAACACCCAGGAGAGCGTTCCGGGGTCGGTAAATTGGTACCATACTCGTCTGGGAGGATAAAACCACCGACTTGTGCATCGGCTGGCCACCGCAAGTCATTGTATAGGCCACATACGCACCCATCACGCCACTGCGATTCTGAATGGAAGTCGAGTGCGGGGGCGCATCCCTCAGGCGGGATTGTTTAACGCCAGAAACTTTATCCTTTATCCTTTTAATTAACAAATTAAAACTAAAAAATAAAAAAAAATAAAAAATCATGTCTCTTTGCGCTTCATTCTATTCTGGTCTTCAACAGCACAAACTCCGCTAAGGAGAGCACTGCTGTTCCCAACACGACATTTGTGCCCTCTCCCTCGTTTTTGCATTGTCTGGAAACAGTACTCTGCTTCTATTCTCTGAACTACCGCGAAGATTTTGTGAAAGCATTCCCTTCAAGTTTAAAGATCAGCCAAGTGTCTATAAATAAACAGGAAAGGCTAGAACTTCAGTGAGTCTTCGCTGGAACACAATCGAAATCACCTTCTTTCAGTCGACAAAATGTCGTCGGTTTCTCCGAGCGCCATGTTAAAGAATATTTGAAAATAAAATTTCCTCTACCCACTCCATTAGGGAGACTGCATTAGCTTTCGTTTTCTTGATTGATCCTTTGCCATACGGCTCCAGAGCAGCTCCAGCTTTTTTTTAAACTTCATCCACCATGAGAGCTTCGCCCAGGGATATGTCACTCAGCCTCCTTTTCGGCCTATGGCTTGATGAATCACTCAGTTCGTTCAGCGTCGTTCCCATCCCATGGGACGTCTTCGTGGGACGTCTTCGTGTCGCCTATATTTGACTTTTGCTTCGTTTCGTGTTGGGTCATGGATATGCTCGGATCTGCTGCCCATCGTTTAGTGATCGCTAGACGTGTCCCTCGACTTTGACTAGAGACTGTCAACTAATTATTCTGAGGCTTTTGCCTTTTAATATGGTGGATACGATAATGAATCGTCCACCTGATTACTACTGTATGACGTACGGTGATTTTGAAGACGACGAACCACATAGCAGCCAAACAAGCAAGGTTCGCTCGGAGTCTTTTTTTTTTGGAAAATTCTTCTTTGAAGGGTACATCATAATGAATGTTTTGGTAATTTGCTTATAGGTTAGATTACAATAAAGTCTTTTTTTGTTCAGAGACCTTCGGAAAGCTCGGTAGACGATGCTCTTCGTGATGTGCATGGACGTCTTCATCAACTGGCTTCTGAAAATACGGTAAACGATTACTTTCGAATTACCTGATTCTTTCTCTTTTTTACGTTTGGCTTAATTTTATCTTTTCTTTGGTACAGGAGAGGTTTTATTTCGTTTTCTTTCACATATGTACGCTTCTACTACACCATGTTTTGCAGTCTTTAAATGAGAAGCTCGTTCGTCAATCGGACGAGTTGACTGAAGCTCGTGCCCAGCTCAGAGGATTCTCCGGTGGTCTTGGTCTCCCACTCGGTCAGTTTTGCATTCCTTAATCTTTCCAATCCTTCAGTTGAGCCCTCTTACCGTGACAATTAAATTTTGGACAGGTTTGTTTAAAATCCGCGACTCATCATGTGTTAAAAGAATAGATTCACGCCTAATAGTAGCTCCTAATTCATCCGTTCTCCCCCTCATTAATTTCCTGTTCGGAGCATAATTCTGGGTTGTTTCACTCTTCCCAACTAGTCTAAGATTCTTTTGAAATTGATGTTAGCTGTTTCTATTGATCTCTTTTCTTCATATTTACTCGAAGTGAGGGCCCACCGCATTTCAAAGCAGGGTTGGTCCACATTTCTTGTCCTTTTATTCAATTTATTCATCTCAGTTCAGTATTGGATGTAGTTGACCAGAAGTTGAGAGTTGATCAAAGGGTGGGAATGCAATTGGATCTCCCATCTAGTATTATACGTAGTTGCTAGTTGTTCAAGGATATTGGTTCGAAGAAGCGCAGTGGGTGAAGGCGACAAGCCGCGCTGCGCCTCTATTTAAATAATTCAACTGGTCTGAAGGGTGGTACCGGATTCTATTGGCTGCTTAGAACCTGAAATCATGGATGTTCCTATTCTTCTGCCTCCTGCGTTTCGCCCTCACTTAGTGCTCATTCGGGTTTTATGGGTTATTTTGGAAAGAAGGGACGTTCGCTGGCGTGGACGAGTTAAAGGCACGGTTTACGATACTTTTAAAGTATCTAGTTTCAGACGATCAGTGGAAGTGATAGTCCGAAATAATGCCGAAAGGGCAAAGTGAATGCAGAAGTCTGTGTAGTCAGAGATATATGATGCTTTGAAAAAGAAGTAAAATTAGTGTATTGGACGAGAATGTGACGACAGAAGTTGCGTGGAAGGGATGTTTGGACGAGCTATCCAAAAATGAGCGCCATTGCATACAGCTGGCCACAGTAGGCTGTGCAGGTTCCACTGCGAGTTGTGCAACCTTTTCAGCTTTCACACCGCTTAAGAATCCGTCCTCCTCGGGTGTGTATGTCGGCTGAGCCGGTTTTGGGGCCCTGATTACGCCCTACCTCCAAGGAAGGGATCTCAGAAACCATTTTTATCGTGGACTGTGCTTTTAACCTCATATTGACCGGCTAGTTTTTAAGCCAGATAGTGTCTTCTACTGCGAAGTTTTCTCACCTGCTTTTGTTCAGACACCTCTATGGATTCTGAAGTGATTCGTTTGGAGCCATTGTCCAAGGAAGGTGTGGAGCATTCTGCTCTTGTCGAAGTTTTCAATGTGCCAGAATTCGCGCGGATACTCGTTTGCGGTTTGTTGCTATTGACTGTTGCCATGCTTGGAAAAGAACGCTCATATCTCTTAACTTTTAGACCTGAAACCTCGTCTGGCTCGTCATTTGACGAAGGCTTTCCCAGCCTATCTGATATTGGCCGCTTTCCGCTACTATGATCATGCGCATGACGAAACAGCCCTCACAGGGCTCTTCTCTACGCTACATATCATAATCAAGGATACTGTCGCGGTAAATATTACAGTACTTCATTGAGTTTGCTTTTGTCAATTTATGGTTGAGTTTCATTGATATTGAAAAGAGATCTCGACATTTACATACTTCCATAGTGACCTTATAGCTTTTCTGTTCCGCTCGTTTCGGATCGTTGGGTTGACGCTTGCGCTGTAACCAGTTCAGCGTAAATCATAATAATCATATTTTGAATAGAACAAACGTACATTGTGCAACACGAATTGGGCAGGTTTGAGAAGCAGCAGAATAAATTATTTGAAATGAAGGTGCAAGACTGCTGTATTATGGAAGTCCTGGAGGGGTTCTAGGTTCATGTTTAATGACCATATGAAACGAGGTCAGTCAACAAACCAGTCAAAAAGGGACAAAATCGGTAAGGAAGGTATCAGTGAAATAGACGCTCTGTAGAAGGTACTAATCGTATCCCTTGGTTTGTTGGTGTGTGTATTGGCGTGTATGTTTGTCTGGAAACTCATAACTTCTGTCCCGAAGATCTAGAGCGTTCAGTTTCAAAAGGAGTACAAAATGGAAACACTGGTGGCATCCGGCGGAATTGAAATCCGTCCACAAGGGATGGGAGTGAAAATAGTT